GGTGACGTCGACAGCGGCAAAAAACGATGGTAGTAGCAATGCTGGTAACGGTGACGACGATGATGACGGCAAGGCAAATGACGGCGCCGATACGGATCACGCCGATGACGATGATAGTGGCCACGCATTGGTGATGAAGGTGTTGGAAAGATTTCGACACATGCGCGCGCGGCCGACGCGCGCAAGTGGCCCACACGCGATCATTTGACAGGGATCGTGCCCGCCCCCCCCCCAGCACGCGCAAAGGCGTTCGAATGATGCCGACATGCGCGCGAGAGGCCCATTCAGTCACATGTGATTAAAATCTTAGAATGCAACGCGATTTTCGCAAGAATTCGCAAGAACGCGCGCGCATAACGCGCGCTTCGTCCCATATGTTGCAGAGGACTCTTGGAACAAATGTGCACGTACTGTGCTTGTGTTGCAAAGGATGGTGGGGGGTTGTCGAACCCAGCCTGGCAGTAATGATGCGGGTTCCTATTCCGAATCAACGATGGGGCTGGATATTTGTTTTACTTGCGCATATCCAAGGCTGGGGGATAATCATGGGGGTGTAGATTTTAATTCCACTTTAGAATATATATATATATATATATATATATATATATACGTATATATACACACACATAAATATATATATATATATATATATATACATACGTGGCGCAATCCACATTGCGCAATCTTTGGTGTACAAACTGTGGGGACCAATGTATGCGGTACAACCGGGTGCACTCTTTTTGGTGCAATATCTGTAGCGCACTCTACGTGGTGCAGTCTATGTGGTGCCGTCTACGTGATGCAATCTGTGTGAGGCAATAGATTTTTACAAATTGACGCATCCCATGCTCTTGTAAACATCCCACCCACCCACCCGCAACTTGGTTTGCAAAACCCATGCGGCGGCGAATGCGATGAGTGCTTGGCGTTGGCTGTTGCATCCCTGCGGCCACGCCAACCCAAGCACGCGTGCGCAAAGGCCAGCTAGCTTGGCGCGACCGATGCAGCCGCGGTGGCGCTGATCGCTGGGCATATCCCAGCCCGCACTTCACTGCGAGTCGGCGACTTGGGCAGGCGCGGTACCACGGCAACGTCGACAACGATAGGAATGATGATGATATTCGCGATTCTGGCGACGATGTTGACAACGACGATGGCGCGGCTAATGCCGGCGCCGATGCTGATCACGCCGACGACGATGACGGCGTTCTCGCGTCGGTGATGAAGGTGATGGAAAGAGTTCGGCATGCGCGCGCGGCCGACTCGCGAGAGTGGCCCGCAAGATATCTTTTGGCACGGATCGCGCCCCCCCAGCACGCGCGCAAGGGCGTGCGAATGATCTCGGCATGCGGCGCGAGAGGCCCGCTTGGCAAACTCCCATGAAAATGGTTTCAAAAACACATACACACACACACACACACGCACGCACGCGCACACACACACAACAAAAACAAACAAACAAACAAACAAAACAAAAACAGATGGCTTCTTCAGAATTCGCAAGAGCGCGAACGCAGGCTTGTTTGAAAACTGATGTTGCAAAGCCAAATGTTTTGATATTGGTTTGGGACATTCGGCTTTGAACCCCTTACGAAACCTAAAGTTCCTGACGGAATCTGGCATGCGCGCGCGACGACGCGCGCATGCACTTTGTCCCGTTTTTTGCAGAGGGCTCTCGCGACAGCACGCGCGCAAGGGCGTTATAACGATTTCCACATGCGCGCGCGAAGCCCATGTGGTAGCATGTTATGAACATGTTGAAATCCTATTGCTTTGTTGACAATTCGCAAGAGCGCGCGCAAGTTGTTTTGAAAACCCGTGATGCGAAACCCTGAATATGTTATATGTGTTCTGGACACTCGAATTTGACACCCTTACGAAACGTCAGGTTTTTGAAAGATTGCGGCACGCGCGCGCGACGACGCGCGCGTATGCATTTCGTCACATTTTTGGGGAAACTGCTAATTTTGATAATCGAGCGCGCGCGCATAACATTTGCAGAGGATGGTGGGGGGGGGGGGGCAGATACCGGCTCGGCTGGGGTGGTACGAATTCACATTCAGGATGTACGATGGGGCAGAATCATATGCAAATTGCCATGCGAAAAGGGGGGCGGATAATCCCGGGGGGGGAGTCTGTTGTCCTGTAAGAAAGGACAATATATGTCGGGGCGGCGACGGCGGCAACATAGCCGCCAGACCGACAGACAGGCCCAGACGACGGGCGGCGACGAAGCGGCGAAGACGCGGCGACGGCAACATAGCCACCAGACCGACAGACGGGTCCAGACGACGGGCGGCGACGAGACGGCGACGTGGCGGCGACGGCGGCAATGTAGCCGCCAGACCGACAGACAGGCCCAGCTCCTGAATAGCAAATAAGAGCCCTACGTGTAAGCACTGTTTGGGGAACAGTCAAGTGCTTGAAATGCGCCTTGCCAGAGAAACCGCAAGACAACACGTCAGAACTGAAGCAGCAGATTTGCCATCCGAATAATGAA